GGCTTTCCCCCTCTAATGACGTGTATAAAGAGAGAATGCTAATGAAAATTGTATTAATTCATGTTCAGCATTAGAGGCTGGAGATATTCGCACACTGCTGACACACACACAGCCCCTTATAAAAGAGATGTCTGCATAACAGGAGCCCTGTAATATCTTGATGATTCCAGTGAGTCATAAAGCCGTGAGCATCGCCTCGTTCTGCTGACGCAAAAATCCAGCGTTTTCCTTACATTGCACATACATATGACCTGCTTTTGTGCGCCGTGCAGTGACGTGATTCTGCTTTAGCGTGCGCTGATCTGTCTTTATGATTCATAGCTTGTCTGCAGACGATGGTTTAGCTGTCACAGGCATGTTCCTCACACAGACACTGAAGCGTTCAGACAACAGCACTCAACATTCATTCTCTCTCACGCTCACAACATGTGCTCACAAGTCAATTCACAGGCAGATTGTTTATTCATTTTGATCTCAACGCTCTGATTTATCATCTTCAGTTTGGTTAGAGTTGGACATTATCAGCTATCATGACTCTCTGAATTGATTGATTTATTTTTTTACAATATTTAAGCACATATATATTTTTAATAACTACAATTAAATGACCTCAAAATGAACTGAAACCCTTTAAATTCTGATGTGTCGAACTACTTTAAGAGTCCTAATTCAGTAGCCTGTGTGGAGTAAGGTCATGTTTACGGCAGAAATAAGCAGCGTGTTTTACCGTGAGCTGAGTTGTGTTGGAGGACGTGTGGCTGTGAGTGGGCGGGTGTGAAGATGAGGAAGATCTGACAAGATTGGTTCTGAAAGCTGTCAATCATCCTGGCTCCTGTCGCTGCTTTGCTCTGCTGAAGCTTTTTAGGCGATCCTGAAAAGACGTCTCCAAATGTACGCACAGTAAATGCAATTAAACTACGGGGGAGATATTGAATGCTTGATTCTGATTGGCTGATGAGATGGTGCTTGGTTATTATCAGATAAAGGCACAGCTAAAGTAGTTCCGGCAGGTTTTGAGTGCATTACAGTGCTATATCACTATGCTGAATGATTATTAGATGAATTATTTTACAGCTACAACAGTCAAAACTCTGCTATTATATAACACTTATTATATAATATACCTATATACCACTTACTTTATACTTAATATATGAGTAAATGTTGGATTAAAACCACCAGTAACATTTTGAGGCATAACAATAATTGTAATAACTGTACACCATGTGGAGATCACCACTGTAAAACATGCTTCCCAGTGACTACTTTGATGTCAAAACCGCATTAAAAAAACACATTAAAAATATCCAAAAAATGCAAATCAATATAATTATTCACGGGCAAAAGGAAATTGCAAATACGTTAGATTAATAAACAATATCGATATGGCAATGTATGCTAATCACACTGTGGAAAATGATGGGTTGGTGTAACCCAATGTTATGTCAAACATGGACAACCCCAATATCTGGTTAGTTATTCAATTAAATTTAAATATGGGTGATTCTAGAGTTGCTACGGTAACACAAGACCTGTAGTAATTGATCTGTTGTAGTGATTCTAGAGTTGCTATGGTAATACGACTGCAGTAATTGGTCTGTTGTAGTGATTCCAGAGTTGCTATGGTGACGCAACAACTACAGTAATTGATTTGTTGTGGTTATTCTACAGTTGCTATGGTAACACAACAACTAAAGTAACTGATTTGTTGTGGTGATTCTACTGTTGCTATAGTAACGCAACAACTTTAGTAACTGATTTGTTGTGTTGATTTTACAGTTCCAATGGTGACACAACAACTATAGTAACTGATTTGTTGTGGTGATTCTACAGTTGCTATGGTGACACAACAACTTTAGTAACTGATTTGTTGTGGTGATTCTACAGTTGCTATGGTGACACACCAACTTTAGTAACTGATTTGTTGTGGTGATTCTACAGTTGCTATGGTAACACAACAACTATAGTAATTGATTTGTTGTGGTGATTCTACAGTTGCTATGGTAACACAACAACTATAGTAAATGATTTGTTGTGGTGATTCTACAGTTGCTATGGTAACACAACAACTATGGTAACTGATTTGTTTCAGTGATTCTAGAGTTGCTATGGTAACACAACAACTATAGTAATTGATTTGTTGTGGTGATTCTACAGTTGCTATGGTAACACAACAACTATAGTAAATGATTTGTTGTGGTGATTCTACAGTTGCTATGGTAACACAACAACTATGGTAACTAATTTGTTGTAGTGACTCTAGAGTTAACCAAAGAGCGTCAAAAACACATTACTGGACTGTCCTGTAATAATTTATTTTATCTTTTTTTGTGCCAATTTTAGATGTCAATTCAATACTGTTTAATTGTCGAGGTAGTTTACTGTATATGCATTATAGGGATACAAAATCCAATATGTGTTTGTAATTTGTAATTGAAGGTTTCAAATGAGTAAAACATGTATTGCATGTATTGCCATATCAGATTGATTTATTCATCTAACTGTCTCTCCCTAAAGTATGTCCAACTCCTTTTTGCCCCTGAGCGAAGAATGGAAAGACACTCAGGAATAAGAATACTGAATGCTTAAAACTGAACCCTGGGCTGTAGGAAACGCTCATTTTCATTTCCATGCCCTCACTATGGCAGGCCGTGGAGTTGAAGATCCGCTGTCTGTGTTTACATAAGCAGTGCCCTGACGGACGCAACCATGGCAACGCAGGCATGGCATGTGGGATGGCAGCTCCTGTAATCTGCGGAGTCAAGACTGACCCAGACGTGCGCTTCAGTGTGTGTGTTATGTGTGTGTGTGTATGTGTGTGTCTCTTTCTTCCTACACAACACTAACACCTTCAGGCGTGCTGTCAGAGAGACGGCCGGCCCTGTCGCACTGCTTCACCACAGACAGCTCTCAGGCCTGTTTGAGGCTCGCTGACGAAAGGAGTTATTATGGGATGGCACCGTCAAGTGTCTTCAGGTGATTCAGTGTCTGTCACTCAAGAATAAGGTATTCACTTTAACAAGGCAGACATTATGTTTATTTGTGACCCCGGAGCATTAAATCAGCTTTATGTTGCGCTGGTACACTTGTGGGAATAACCAGATATACACCTCATGACTGGAAATTACAGATTTATTTCATGACAAAAATTCATTGATCTGCTGCGGCGATTCTAGAGTTGGCATGGTGACAACAACTACAGTGATTAATCTGTTGTGGTGATTGTACAGTTGCTATGGTAACACAACAACTATGGTAATTGAACTGTTGTGGTGATTCTAGAGTTGCTATGGTAACAACAACTACAGTAATTAATCTGTTGTGGGGATTGTACAGTTGCTTTGGTGACTCAACAACTGTAGTAACTGATCTGTTGTGATGATTCTACAGTTGCTATGGTAACACAACAGCTATAGTATTTGTTTTGTTGTGGCAATTCTATAGTTGCTATGGTAACACAACTATAGCAATTGATCTGTTGTAGTGATTCTAGAGTTGCTATGATAACATCAACTACAGTAATTGATTTGTTGTGGTGATTCTACAGTTGCTATGGTAACACAACAACTACTGTAATTGATCTGTTATGGTGATTCTAAAGTTGCTATGGTAACACAACTAGTAATATAAACAAATTAGCTAGTACTGTAGTTTTCTACAACAATAGGGTCTATTATACCACAATAACCAGTGTTTACTGTAGTAAAAACTAAAGTACACTACAGTATTTATTCCAGTTAGTACTGTGTTAGTACTTAGTATTGTGGTTGTATCTGTGCTATGTATTTCTATAAATATTTTCAATTAGTTTTTTTTATATATATATTTTCCACCTTCATGTTAATTTTAGTTTAGTATTTACATTTATCAGATGCTTTTAATCCAAATATTTACAAGTAAATAAATATAAAAGAAGCACTTTAAATCACCAGAAAGTTGCGGTAAATAAATGCTATGCTAAGTCTAATTCACCTAGTCTACATGTCTAAAGCTGCACCTGAAGTTGCCTTCTACTCTAGTATATACTACATTTGAGTTTCGACATGCCTACCATACTGTTTTTTACAACCCAGGCTCATCATGAAAAAGTACCTTTATAAACATTTCTGGAGAGCACCAAAAATGTCCCAGGAGCTGCGTTTTTTGCAGTTTTTGTTTTGGTGAATCCACCAGAGTCTGCTGTGTATGCTTTTTCAGATCTCAAATCTCTCTCACGAGTGCCCTTTGTGCCTGCTGTTCTCACATAAATCCACCGGAGGCCGATGTTGATTGACTGATTTACTGACTGATCGACTGACCCACCCAACCCTTCCCTAAACCCAACCGACAGTGTTTTCAAAAGTAATGCCTTTAAAGAAACGCCCTCGCCTGCTTTTTACCACGCTTTCAGATTTTTCCACATTCTCACCCTGTTATTCACTTTACTTTTTTGTCTTCTGTTTTTGTCATAACTGCTTTCTGGAACTGTTCTTCGCCGGTCTCAAACCGTGTAGCCATGGTCAACTCCTCTCCGCGTCTTAAATCCACCTACGTACATGGTGAGCCACTGGACAAACTGGTAACAGCAGAGAAGCCGTCCATATGGAGGTAAGCAGTCAGCTGGTACGTGTGAAATGGATGGCATCATACCACCTCGCATTGTTCATTTTAAAGACGAAATGCAGCCAAACGTATTTCTGGCTACATAATTTGCGATCTCCAGAAATGTATACAGGGCTACGCTTTAAGAATGAGCCTGAGTTGGTTTTTATTCTACTACGTAGTCGGGAAGTGTGTCATTTCAGACTCAGCATGAGTTTTATTTATCTACTTATTACAAATGTACTTCCCCCCCCAAAATAGAAATGAGTCATTTTGTCCAGCCCAGGGCCCAGGTTAAAAATGCAAGTGTAAGGAGCCCACAGTGACAGATCTGATCTTCATTAGAGCTCGACTTTACCTCGTCTCTGTTTATTCTCTCTCTCTCTCTCTCTCTGTCCCAGAGTCACCCGGCTCGCCCCTGCCGTCGCTCCTGCAGGCCTGACTCTGATTGTCCACAGGAAGTCGGCTGAAAGAAAATTTTCCGCTTTTCGCATCCCATTTAGACACAGCCAGCAGTCCTGCTCGCCCTCGTGGAAGTGCTGATCATAGAAAGAGGTGAGAGAGAGAGAAAGATTGAGAGCAAACATGACAGAGGAGGAAAGATGAAGGAGAAAGACGGAGAGAAACACAAACATTTAAACAACATGTTTCATTGAGCCATGCCATGTCCTCTGCAAAAAAACAACATATTACTATCAACCCAACACATCTTTTTTATACTCCAAAAATGCCTTCAATCTTGTCTACTTCCATCATAGATAAATGAGAGAGAGAGAAAGAGCAAACATGACAGAGGAAGAAAAGATGAAGGAGAGAGAGAGAGAGCAAAGAACAAACATGACAATGAAGCAAAAGATGAAGGAAACTCACTGGTTCGAGTCCAACTGGGTCAGTTGGTGTTTCTGTGTGGAGTTTGCATGTTCTCCCCATGTTGGCGTGGGTGTCCTCTGGGTGCTCTGGTTTCCCCCACAGTCCAAACACATGCGCTATAGGGGAACTGATGAACTAAACTGGTCGTAGTGTATGAGTGTGTGTGTGTGAATGAGTGTGTATGGGTGTTTCCCAGTACTGGGTTGCAGCTGGAAGGGTATCCACTGTGTAAAACATATGCTGGAATAGTTGGCGGTTCATTCCGCTGTGGCAACCCCTGATGAATAAAAGACTAAGCCGAAGGAAAATGAAATGACAACATCATATATTTACACAATGCACAACTATAAGAACCGATATTCATTTCCCTATTCTGCATATCACACTGTTTGTAACTATAACTATTATAATTAATGGGATAGTTCACACAAAATTGAAAATTTCCATAATTTACTCACCCTTTACTTCTTTCAAACCTTTGTGTGTTATTTGTTAACTAAATGTTGAAAACCTGTAACCATTGACTTCTATAGTGTTTGTTTTTCCTACTGTGAAAGTCTATAGTTACAGGTTTACAGCATTCCTGATGTTATACATTCAGCACATCACTTTCATTCATTCATTTTCTCTTCGGCTTAGTCCCTTTATTAATGTGGGGTTGCCACAGCAGAATGAATCGCCAATTATCCAGCATTATGTTATACACTGCGGATGCCCTTCCAGCCGCAACCCATCTCTGGGAAACATCCATACACACACATTCACACTCATACATTACGGACAATTTAGCTTTCTCAATTCCCCTATAGCGCATGTGTTTGGACTGTGGGGGAAACCAGAGCACTCGGAGGAAACCCACACCAAAACGGGGAGAACATGCAAACTCCACACAGAAACACCAACTGACCCAGCCGAGACTCAAACCAGCGACCTTCTTGCTGTGAGGCCAGTGCTTACCACTGATATACCATACAGCCCTACATCACACTGTTTGTAATTATTGTAATTAAAGGGATAGTTCACACAAAAAATTTTAAATGTTTACTAACATTAATAAATGCTTTACAAGATTATTCATACTTGGTTAATTTTAGTAAAAACATTACCCATTATTATAAAGTGGTACCCAAATATTTTCCTCCCAACCGCCCAAGTTTCACTCCAAAAATACAACAAACATCAGAGAACAATTCTTTAAACAAATCAAACAATTCCTTCAGATAGACAGAGAGAGAGATAACGAGGGAGATCATGGCAGGCTAGTCTAGACCGGTCTTTTTCTGGATTGCGTAACTCTCCGTATGCCGCTCGCAGGATGCTGCATTTATTCACAGGTAATTAATGGGCATCGCCATGGAGACGGAACTGTCCTCAGGGCATCATGTGTGGCGCGTTTTCCCCTCGTGATGTCACATCTTCCCATTTATAGGATGCACATTTATACATTACTCAGCCGTTGGACCAGCTCGCAACAGTAAACAAGTTGTAGAGACGTCAGAAATCATGTCCTGATACATCACAAGGAACACAAAAGAATTATTAGGTTTTTCTCTCAGTATTCTTGGAGATGGAAAATAAGTCTTGTTCTCTGAAAATCCATCAAACTCAATTGATTTTTTTTCTTTAAAAAAATAAATAAATAAAGGTATGTGTGTGTGTGTGTGTAAAATATATAAAATCATTTGATACATTTTTTTTTCTAAATCTAAAATATTTATTGTGGTCAAGAAAAATATTGTCCAACTCGTTAATGCAAATTTATCAGCCAATCACATTGCAGCAACTCTATGCATTTAGGCATGTGGACATGGTCAAGACAATCTGCTGCAGTTCAAACCAAGCATCAGAAAGAGCATCTCTGAACACACAACACGGCCAACCTTGAGGCGGATGGGCTACAGCAGCAGAAGAGCACACCGGGTGCCGCTCCTGTCAGCTAAGAACAGGAAACTGAGGCTACAATTCACACAGACTCACCAAAACTGGACAGTAGAAGATTGGAGAAACGTTGCTGCTCTGATGAGTCTCCATTTCTGCTGACACATTCAGATGCTCGGCTCACAATTTGGCCTCAACGACATGAAAGCATGGATCATCCTGCCTTGTATCAGCGGTTCGGGCTGGTGGTGGTGGTGTAATGGTGTGGGGGAGATTTTCTTTGGGTCCATTAGTACCAATTGAGCATCAACGCCACAGCCTACCTGAGTATTGCTGCTGACCATGTCCATCCCTTTATGAGCACAGTGTCTCCATCTTCTGATGGCTACTTCCAGCAGGATAACGCAGCATGTCATAAAGCTCAATCATCTCAGACTGGTTTCTTGAACATGACGATGAGTTCACTGCACTCAAATGGCCTCCACAGTCACCAGAGCTCAATCCAATAGAGCAGCTTTGGGATGTTGTGGAACGGGAGATTGGCATCATGGATGTGCAGCCGACAAATCTGCAGCAACTGTGTGATGCTATCATGTCAATATGGAGGAAAATCTCTGAGGAATATTGCCAGTAGCTTGTTGAGTCTCTGTCATGAAGGATTAAGGCAGTTCTGAAGGCAAAACAGGGTCCGACCTGGAACTAGTAAGGTGTACCTAATAAAGTGGCCGGTGAGTGTGAGGTTTTTTCAATTCAGTACAAAGTCTTTTTACCCTTGGATTAAAGTATAATCTTGCTTAGGACCAACCTTAAAAATTCTGTAATTAGTTTTTAATTTATAAATTACCCTCAAAATATAGTTATGACTTCACTGGAAATTGCAATATTATTTTAAGGGGCGTCACGATGGCGCAGTGGGTAGCACGATTGCCTCACAGCAAGAATGTCGCTGGTTAAAATCCCAGCTGGGTCAGTTGGCATTTCTGGGTGGAATTTGCATGTTCTCCCCTTGTTTCCTCTGGGTGCTCCGGGTTCCCGCACAGTCCAGACATAGGTATAGGTCAATTGAATAAGCTAAATTGGTTGTAGTGTATAAGTGTGAATGCAAGAGTGTATGGGTGTTTCCCAGTGTTGGGTTGCAGCTGGAAGGGCATCCGCTGTGTAAAACAGATGCTGGATAAGTTGGCGGTTCATTCTGCTGTGGCAACCCCTGATTAATAAAGGAACTAAGCTGAAAATGAATAAATGGATCAATATTATTTTATTATCAATCTGAATATTTGTTCTGCCCAAGGAAAAAAAATGCATTGACTCAAAGGAAAAAAACTGTTTTTATAGACCATGATGAATTAATTTGGTTTGACTTAAAATTTAATTCAAAGTACTAACTGCTGGAATAAACTATAATAATTCTATATAATGTCAGTCTAAGCTATAGATATTTAAAGTGGTAAACAATATGCTGGAGCTTTCAGTGTGGTTATAAATATCACGCAATTTGAAGAAATAAGTTATAATTTCCCCCATCATTTTTCACTTAACCCCAATGTATAATTGTAATTTGATTGACAGACACAGTAGTTTCACTTTATTCCAGTGAGAGCTGTTTTGATGCAGGATTTTGCATTTTACTGTTTTTCTCAGTCGCTTTGGTGCATTTCTCACAACACCAGTGCATTTCTGCTCAACAGTTCATGCATTTCTCAAAACAATTAGTACAAACTGCAAAACCTAGCTGATAACCTGCAAAAGCATGTCACTTGCTCAAAATGAATAGTTCATTCCTCAAAAGCAAGTATTGATGTCAATCAAAGTGTCAGTGTCATCAAGATGAAGAGTCCTGACAGCATTGTTTATGAGCAAGATAGTCAAATGGCTTAGTCATGTTTTCATTATGATAGTTTACGCTCTACTTTATTTCAATGCTAAAAAGTCTGATGTTGGTGACACTTGCTGAAAATGCTCCAGACAGCACTGTATACTATTTGCACAGCCATTTGAAAACTACAGTACTGTTAGACATCACTGCATTTAGTGAGGTATCTGAGTACAAGACACTGAATATGTATGTTTCACATGTTTACTGCAGATGCTCTTTACAGTCCTAATTTATTGACAGCATTGTGCAGAAGAATAAACACAGCCTTATTTACAACAAACATGCACTCCCTTTAGGTAGAGCTGTGCACAACAGTACACAATATTGCAGTACAAATTGGAATTTAGCCTACAACATACACAGGTCTGTAAATCATTCATCAAATTGTTCAATTTAGAAGACATTTTCAGGAAAATAAAGATTAAATTTTTTTATATAACATTTGCTGACAGATTTTGACACTAGTTCAACATTTTTGTATGTAATGACTCAAGTAATGAAATGAGCACTATTAGTTTACAGTTGTTCTCAGTGGCGTTGGTGCATTTCTCACAGCACTATTTACATTTGCACAACAGGTCATGCATTTCTCAAAACAATCAGTCATTTGTGCACATCACAGTAGCAGTTTCTCATTCCTTCCAACAAATTGCAGATGCTTTGGGACATGCATCAACTGCTTTCATACAACTCTCTGCTGTTTCTAACATTTTCATTTGCTTATGTCAGTCAAAATGAACTAAACTTGTGAATGCTGAATTGTCAAGAGAAATGCTTCATCGTGTTTTGAGAAATGCATGAACTGTTGTGCAAATGTAAATAGTGCTGTGAGAAATGCACCAAAGCCACTGAGAACAACTGTAAGCTTGCTTTAATTGATGTACATGCACATAAATGTTGTTTATGTCAGTCCGCATGCATTAGGTGAATG